GGCTATTGTGTGCGGCGCTGACCCGGCTGCCGGCCGTCGGTGCCTCTCCGAAAGGCCCTTTCGGAAAAGCTGCGAGCTGTTGCGTGATCCTGCCCCGCCAGGCAAAATCATCTGCCCCGTTTCTTTCCTTACTGCATTATTATTAAAGTGTCTCTTGGAGACTCCCAAGCGTTGCACCTCCCCTCCGCTCGCGCCATCCCAAATGTGGCGACGGGGACTGCTCCGATGCTCACATGAATGTTCTCCAGATCCTGCCTCGGGCACTTTGATTGTTGAGCAAACGCTGCCGCCTTCACCAGCTTTGTTGTCTGTCTCTTCGCCATCTCCTTTTAGCAGAGCGGCTCTGCTGGGCGGCAGGAACACAGGCAGCTTTCCCGCCTGTGATCATCTCCCCCCGAGGCTGGGGGATGGTTTCCAACCTAACCCCAACGTACTTGAGTAGTTGGACCTTTTCTGACGAATTTGCATCGGAAATGGCTGCTGTCTAGTCAGCGCAGGTGCCTCGGGTGCCCAGTCATACGGGGATCGCAGGGAAGGGGGGGTGGTAACTAAAATGGGGGTGTGAGGAGGAGAGAAGTGCTGAGCCAGCTGTGCACCGAGCCAGCTGTGCACCCTTCTGCCCCCAGAGCTGGGGTTTCCAACTGCAGAAACACTCGACCTGCCCGTGGGCAGCAGAGCTTCAAGGTGGCTGGGCACGTCCCTGTCCCGGCGCAGCGTGGGGTTATCCCAAGTGCCCATAGATCTGGGATTATCTCAAGTACCAAATTGTCCCTTTCTTGATCTCCACTGAAAGCTTCTCTGATGCATTTACAAGTTTGAAGGGCAGGTTTCTGAGTTGCATTGAAACCTTGGCAGCAACACGTTTTCTATGCACAGTGATCGTCTGAGGAGTCACTGAACTGCATTCAATAAAACAAATAATATAATGAAAAATTTTCTTTAAATAAGAGCATCTCAGAAGGCTGAGGAGTTTCCAGCGTGTCCCAGGCGCTGGGGGACACTGCTCTGCATGCACGAGGCTGGCTGTGACCCTGCCTTTGCAGACTGGTTTTCTCCCAGGCTGTTGTGGGATGGGCGGTGGCTGAGAGCGGTTTATTCACATTATGATGTTGCAGCGTGTTTAAAAATAAGCGAAGCTGTTCCAAAACTTGATGAGCGCAGGTGGCAGGGCCCTTCTGCCTCTCTGTAGTGCCGACTTCTTGCAGCCCTCGGAGAACTGGGTCAGAGCTGACCGCAGGCTTTTCCTGTCTATGGGCAGGCTTCAAGGTATTTTGTTTTACCAGGTGAGTTTCTTGCTCCCTGTGGTCCAGGTCCCATCCCCGCCCCATTGCCTCTTTGCTCTGGCTTTAGTAGCTTCCCTCTCCGAAGCACCTTGGATGCTCTTTGCAGTTCCTGGGGACTTCTCCCCATGCCAAGGACTCGTGCCGTGCCTGCCTTTGGTACGGTGAGAGATGCTGGTACCTGCAGAAGATGCTGTGATCTCTTTCCAGAACCGAGCAACCTGGCTGCTGCTGGTGTCTCTCCCCAGAAGCGATGGCTGGTGGGTCCCCAGGTGGGTTTGGGTGCGAGGAAGGTGATGGCAGGACTTGGGGTGTGCAGTGCTTGGGCTCCCACTGGCCCTTGTGCCGAAGGAGATCACGGGACCCTGCTTCAGCGCTGCTCTTGCTGGCAGCATATAAATGACAGCATTGATTTTGGGCCTGGCAGGTGGTGAATGAGCCCTGTGGAGAGCATTGATTTCTCTCTCTCTTAGTCTGCTGTGGAGCGTTTACTTGTCCAAAGGTGTGATTGACTGGTAAATGAAATGGCCTCGGCAGAGCTCCTGTTCAGTTGTAGCCAATTTTAACATGTGACTGTTGAGTAGCACTGTTAAGCCAACAGCTCATGATCTTCCATCAACAGCAAACCATCCTCAAAAACCCCAGCAAGCAAAAGCAGAGGAAAGATATTTTGCAGACTGCTGAGAGAGAAATTGTGCCTCAGAACCCCCACGCATGGGCTGGAACCACCCTGTCTTCTTGTGTATGAAGAAAGGGGCTAAAACGTAGCGCAGGTTCCATACCAAGCGATGGCTTTTCTTGTGGGCACTGTAGCGGCTTCGTTCTGCTGCCAGCTCCTCACTGCTGTTGTGGTTGGTTGTGTTCTACATCAGGCCTTTTTCAGTAGCTCTTGAAATAGATGATCGGCTTCTTCCTTGACGCTTGCCGTCTGCCTGCGCTCAGCCGCTCTTTGCAGGCGTCACCCGGAGCTGTGGGAAGGGCGATGGCTCTGCTCTGTGCTCTCTCGTTTCGCAGTCGGTGATGAGATGGCTGCCACGTTGGAATCGGATGAGCCAAGGCAGTTGGATCCAAGCGATGTTGAACGCTGTGGTTGGTCCTGTCCTTTCTGATCGTGGCCAAGCTGAGGTGGAGGTAGCTCAGCCCCATTTTTCAGCAGAGGCTCACTCCCTGGTAGAAGCACTGTCAGGATGAGGCATTTGTGTGCTTGGGTGTGTGATCATAGAGTGTTTTGGGAGCAGAAGGAACCTTTAAAGATCATCTAGCCCAACCTCCCTGCAATGAACAGAGACATCTTTAATTAGATCAGGTTGCATCCAGCCTGACCTTGAATGTCTTCAGGGATGGAGCCTCCACCACCTCTCTGGGCAGCCTGTGCCAGTGTTTCACCACCCTCGTTGTGAAAAATTTCTTCCCCGAGTCTAGATCTACCCTCTTTTAGTTTAAAAGCATTATCCCTTGTCCTATCGCAACATGCCCTGCTAAAATCTCCCTGCCATCCTTCAGAAATGAGGTAGTGTGAACTGTGAGCTTTTCAGGAATTTGAACCATAAACACGTCGTGCAGAGGGTTCAGGTTTTTGCTCTGGTTTGGCTGAGCACCAGCACGGTGGAAATCCGTCTCTCCTTGAGCGCTTCTGCCTTGGTTACTGCCCCAGCCTTGGGGTGTGTGGGAAGGGGAAACGAATGCTGCAGAAAGGCAGGGCAGTTCTGTGGAGGAAGCTTTTACCTCTTGCTGGGTGTAATTATGGCTATAACCTGTGTCGTTAAGTTTCAAAACCGAAGGCTTTAAAAGGATTTAAAACAAACGCGTGCTAGAAATTTGAAATCAATGAGACTGCAGTGGAACACAAAATGCGCCCCGGCTGCAAGTGGCCGGTTTGCCTGGGGTGTAAATTCTTGCAGAGCCCCAGAAGATAAAGTTATGAAATAACCCGTATCGGCGAGAGAGGTTGTAAAGCAATTCCAAAAAAACCTCCCAGTCTAGACGGATTATATTTACTGCAGTGTTTATGTGAGATAGAGGAATGCCCTAGAAAAACAGAATTGTTTTCAGTTTCTGCCTCCGGCACTTGCTTGTCTAATGAGAAGGCTGGGACGTGGTGGGAATGCCTTGTAACAGGGGAGCTCTGCTCTTGGTGGCTCCTCGGAGAGGGGGCTGCAGTGGGAAAGAAGGGTAAAAGGTTATTTTTTTCTTTGTGGAGGTGAACCAGGCTGTTGTTAATGAGGTGGTTTTGCTAATCCATCGCCACAAACCTCTGTGTGTAATCCCAGACGCGATGACAGCAACAAGCTGCGCCGTGATCTTGTCTGTGGAGATATGATGGCCCTAAAGACTCTACTGTGATTCTTTTAATTAAAAGAGAATTAAGCTACTTGAGTTTGCTTTGAACTTTCAAGGTTTGCAAGCAGTGTTTTGGCGGGGCGTTGGTTTGATGACAACTTGGGGAGCAGCGACAGTGCCACATGATGGAACCACGCTGGCCAAACCCACCCAAAGGCGGCTTGAGTCTCGCGCCTGTTTATCACATGGGGATGATTCACCCCTTTAATGGATTCATTTACTTAGAATTCTAACATGTTTGTCACATATTTGTGAGGAACTCCCTGAAAAAAAAGAGGAGCTGCTTAAAAATGCAGCAGAAAATTGAAGGTATCTTGCAGAATTGCGTGAGGGTGCGGAAAGAAAGGTGAAATGAATTGGCTTGCTCAGCAGAGTCAGACTGTCCTGATGAAGGATGTAGATGATGCAGCTGCAAAAACGAAGCAGATTTTTATTCTTCTCATCTTAGTCCCTGTGCTGCCAGGCATCACCGTTGAAGTGAGACCGTCTGGAGTCCCCAGACTTCAAAATCCCCGATGCTCACAAACAAATGACCAATTATTGCCGTAGTCAAAGACAGGATTTTCTTGAAAGAGGAACATAATGTTGCTCTGCCAGTTGAGCTATCTGAATAACCAAGGGTGGTCCCTGGAGGAGTGAGAGGTGTCTGCCTCTTCCAATGGGCTGAGATTAAACATGAGCAGGGCTTTGTGGAAACGGGATAGCCCTGGTCTGGGGAATGGGACCCGAGTGGGATCAGGAACATGTCCCGTGGCTGAGCCTTGGGGCTGGCAGTTCCCTGCTGGGACCAGGCTTTGGCTGATGTCTGTGGGTCTGTCAGCATCCGTGGCGCCTGCAGCATCTGGGAGGTGCGAGGGTAAGGGAACAAGTGTTACTTCAATAAATTGTCAGTTGTTTCAGATTCCAAAGAAAAAAAACCACAAGTTTTCACCATCCCAGTCTTTTGTTCGCAATGTGTGCGTGCCTCCCCAGCAATATGTACGTTTCCCTTCTGGAGAGAGGTGAATGGGATCGTGCTGGAAATGGTTAAAAGTGTAACACTGGGCTTCTGTAGAACATCAACTGTAATTTATATTTGGCTTCGACCTTGAAAGGGAAACGTCCTGGCTTGAGTTTTCCAGCCCTTCTGCAATGTTACCTTATGTGAAACTTGTTTTTCAAAAGGGCGTTTGTTCCTGGTGCGCAGCTGAGAACACAGGAGCCTCACAGGAGTCTGACATCTTCAGTAACAACAAATAAACTAATGCCTGGCTTTTCAGTGAGAGTTTCTAAGTCCCTGCTAACTTGCCTTCACATGTGAATTTAACTCCGTAAATCTCAGTTAAAATTTGTGCCTGTCTTGCTCACATTTTCCCTCCCTTTCTTTTTTATTTCTGCCAGTTTCTCTGTTTGAAGAACATCCGAACCTTCCTAAAAGTGTGTCACGACAAATTTGGGTTAAGAAACAGCGATCTGTTTGATCCCTTTGACCTCTTCGACGTACGGGATTTTGGAAAGGTAAGAGGTACCTCTGAGCTCCCGGGAGGTGACGGTCCTGACGCTGGGGCAGTTCTCCAGACTTGGGCTGCAGGTTTTGGATGAAAATATGAAGGTTTTATGTTTTTCCGAGTAGCTTCCAAATCTTTAACCCATGTGTTGGGCACCTCTGTGCTTGTGGCAGCCTGTTTGAGGGGTTGATGCTGCTTGGGTCCATAGTGAAGGTCTTTGGATTACAAAACCGCCAGGATCAGACTCTCAAGTATGTGAAAAATGTCTTTTTTTGGGAGGAGGGAATCAAAAGATCTGTGTGTTTATACAAGCTGTTGGAGAGGCTGTAGCCCTGGGGTGGGGATCTTGGGTCCTTTTCCCAGCTCAGGCTGCCTTGCTGGGTGATGGGGACAAAGCCCCACTGTCCCCTTCCCTGTGAGCTCCCCGAAGGGAGCAGCACCTGCAAGGATTTTGGCAAGTGCCTATTGTTCTGATACCTCAGCTTTTGAATCCGACAGCATCAAGGCTCTGCTGTTGTTCTGACGGATACCAGGCTAGGGAAGCTATTACGCAGGACAATTGCTACATTCTTCAGGGGAAAAGGTGTTAAAAGATTTATTAAAGCTCTCTATTGTTTTACCTATTTGGAGCTACCAGGCATAAGCTGCTGGAAGGCATCTTCTCTTCTGATTATCCAAAGAGTAGCTTTTCACTGCTGATGGGGATGTATTATTTGATATTTATTGCCTAATTTATTTCTGGACCATTATCTGGAATGTGCAATTGCAGGGGCTTGTTTTATGAGTTTTTTTGATTTATGAAATACAAGAAGGCTTTTGTTGGTCTGGGAATATGAATGCACAGAAGGAACCTTTTGGGCTGGGGAAAAGAACCGCTGCTAATTAAAATGCTGCTTTATCGTCACATTGCCTCTTGTTTTGCACTGCTTCAAATTGCCTAAGACGCTGGTTAATAGAGCCTGGTGCTAAACACTGCTGGAACGTGTCAGCTGAACAGTTTGGTTTCCTTGTTGGTCTGGTTAAGAAAGAGCTATTCCTTCCTCCTCCTGTTCAGTTTTTTGGAGAGACTTGGGAAGGGGTGGTGATTTGCCAGTCCCTCTCGCCTCATGATAATTTAGGGTTTTTTTTAGGAGACTTTGGGAAGAAACTTGTCAAACTTCCAAGAAATCCAAGTGTGCTTTAGGGCCTGCGTCTTGCTTATTTTCACGTGCAAGAAAACCTTACAAAATGTGGCAGGCAGATTCTGTATGCAAAAGCCCTGCTGATGTGTTCTCAGTGCGGTTTTTTTATCAGCTTGGTGGGGAGGTATCAGCTGTTCACGTCTGCACCACCCTAAATCCCTCTGGAAGCCTGTCAAAACATCCCCATTGTCTTTGCCACCTTTCATTCCCACGTTATCCTCAGATCTGCGTTCAACAGTGGCAGAGCAAATAAACAGGGAAAAATCCGCTGTTGATCGAAGCGCCTTTCCATTTGGAGTCACAGCGAGAGCAAAAGGAGCCTCTAATCCACGTCCCCACTGGCCAAACACAGCCTTTGCACACACACACACACACACAAAAACTCTTCCTGGAGCTATTCATTCCTGAGATCAATAGCGTTTTTTCAGTTACGAGGCACTTACACCACGTAGCAGACTTTGCCGAACGGAGCACAGCAACAGTCGACCATTTAATTACATAGAAACCTTGGTGGAGTGATGTTGGGTGTTTCCTTTCTGGATGCCACTTAAGTCGTTATTTCTCTCCTCTGAAGCATTTGGGTTTGCTGCAGTGTAATTACCCAGCAGAAAGGCAGCAGCTTGCCTTTAAGTGGTGCCAGCCTATACGTAAAGGGCTCGTCCCTTGGAATCTGCAGAGTCTGTCAGGGTTTCTTCATCTAAAATAGCCGCTAGTGCCTTAGCAGAGGAAGAAAGATCAGATCTCTCAGGCTTGCCTTGACCAGCTGCTATTCCCAGGGAGGTTTCCGTAGCTCCCTTGAGCTTCTGAGCCAGGGCTTCACCAAGGAGGAGCTGCTGTAGGATGGATGGAGCCTCCTTCAAAGGAGCATGTGCGGTCGGGGGCTGGTCGAGTCCAGGAATGTGAGGTCTTGGTTTTGCTACTTGCTTGAGTTTTAGGCTTGGGAAGTTACTTCTTCCTTCCTGTCACCAGGATATAACAGCTGATGGAATGGGATTGTGACCCATGTGCCCTTCTCCACCCGAAATCCCCGCAGAGCTGAAAAGCTCATCTCTGCCTTCGTGGGATGTCGGGTAATTGGCGAGCGCAGGCTTTTGCCAAACAGATGCGTCATGTTTCTTGTAATCGCGGTTGCAGTGTTTCCCAGTTACCCAAGGGAGTCGAAAGGCCAGGTTAAATTGCTCACAGCCAGAGTTCTTCCCTGCTCCAGTGTCCAGTTCTTAAGCAATCCCGCAGTGACAAGGGACAGGCTGTTTCACAACAGGTTTCCAAGAGCAGCCTGACATGCTGACCTGTGTTTCTAGCTGTGCCCCTTTGTGTTCTTTTAACATGTATTGTCTTCTACAAGCTGACTCTCAATTTATTTTCATTTTTTCATCTTTAAATCTTACCCTTTCAGAACGGCTCAAAAGCTGTCTGCAGTCACTAGTGCATTTTGCAGAAGTATTTTTCTCTGTGGCTGTGTCTCTGCTGCAGGATGCAGAAGCAGCGCCGTGTGTCGTGGAGGAAAGCCCAGTTAATATTTTCTTGTCCCTAATGGGGGGGTCTGATCTTGCAGGAGTGAGCGCCGGGTCCTTGGCATGGTGCTGGGCAATCATTGCTTTTAGGAGCCTGGCTCCTAAAAAAAGAAGGAAAATAAAAAGTTAGTGGTCATGTATGGTGTGCTGTTGTACAGTACTTCATGCACATTTAATAGCAATGATGGTGTAAAATGTTACTCTTATTGGACTTGCTAATTCATTGGCACCAACTATAATGAGATAAAATGTACATAAATATGGATTAAACTCTTTATCACTCTGTTAGTCAGCGTGATGGTAGTGAGGTTCATTAAAAGGAGTTACTCATTTTCAGTAACTTCCAGTAATGCATTATTTTATTTCTTTTTTTTTTTTTTTAGAAATATAGTTCAAATATTCATAAACTTGTGGAGCATGCCATTTATTAGCCTCCCACTCCTCTCTGCTCTCCTGACTTGTATTTAATTCTCCTGACTTTCTTTTGAAGCTCCTGCGCTGTTTGAAAAATGCTTTTTTGCGAGAGAGGGGTCTTTCCTACCGTGACCCATGGATACAAAATGATGCTGTTCTAAAAATGAAAAAGGGAAGCAGCTCACAGGTCAGCTGAAAAATGAGGAGATACTAATACTGAGATGAAAGTAGTGGTTTTTTACCTTCTGGTCCTGGTCCAGAGCTTGGCGAGAACTGCACCAACCTTACAGCTTGAGCCAGGGCTCTGTGGAGCGAGGGGGACCTGGATCAATCCTCCCTCTCGATTAATGAATCCACCGAGGTTCGCTGGCTCGTGTGACCGGTGGGTGGCCGACGGAGGGCTCGTGCATGGCTTGTCTTGCGTGTCTGAAGTGGCAGGGAGGAGCAGTACCTGGTCATGGGGGTGGCTCCAGTGGCCCCAGCAAGAGAGAGCAGGGGAGCTGCCAAAGCCAGGACGTGCTGCTTCTGGCAGAGTTAGCGATGGGTGCCTTCTGTAAAGCGTTTGCTTCTTCTGAGTATTTTTTACTGGAAAGGCATCCCCTTCTTCCTGCTGGTGAGCCAGCATGGAGTGCTCTTGGAAAGCCCTGGGAGGGTTGTCCAGGCTGTCCTGACTGGGTGCTTGTTGCAGCTCTGTCCCCAGTTTCGCCACCAGCACGTGGTGCTTGGAGAATCCGCGAAGGGATTCGACTGCCGTCATCCCCCTGTCCCTCTCTGGCATCCTCACATCCACGCCACCTTCTTGCCAGGGAGTCAGAAAACCGAGTTTTCTGCTCGGTTTCAGATGGGAGGGTGGGGAGCATTGTCAGAGTTATTTAAGGGATTAATAACCGAGAGTTGGTGATTTGTGTTTCTCTGCTGAAAATTCCCCTCCCTCCATCCCTGCGGCAATATTTTCAATGGTGCCTTTTTAACGTAGTTTGAGTGTGTAAGGGGGACCAAGGGGGAGATTTATGTGAAATAATATAGGTAGTTGTAAATTGCAAGGCTTTCAGATAAACAGGTCCCCAAGGGGCAACTGGACAGACCTGCCCATGCCGTGCTCCCCTCTGCTGGTTACTGGACGGCTGGTGCTGCGGGTGGCTGGATGTGTGTCAAGAAAGGGATCCTGGCACAAACGAAAGCATTTCGAATTGCCGTATAACTCGTGCCGTGTGTGTGCAGTGGGTGGGAAGTGAGAATTCTCCAAAAGAAGGGACTGTGTGTATTCTTACTTTTTTTTTTTTTTTTTTAAATTCCCAAGAGAGCAGCAGAGTAACCAGCCTGCAAAGAGCATTGTGTGTGTGTGATTGCATGCAAGAAACCAGGAACCTACTTAACCCCTTGCCTGCCTGGTGCTTGCTGTGATGTTGTCCCCGCTGAAGAAGGAGCCAGAGGTGCACCCCGAGCCCACCCTGCCCCTTGACAGGGCACTATTGTACTTTATGGACCACTGCCACGCTTTTCAGAAGCTTTTCAGTACCTTACCAACAAGCTTAAAGTTCACTTGGATGGTGCCCACAGTTTTTTGCCCAAGAGCCCTTGGGTGCTGCAGTCCTTGCCCAAGGGAAAATCCCCAGCTCCGGAAGCGTCTGAGAGCACAGGCACGGCAGCCCTGGTGTTGCAGCTCGTGGCATGCCTGTGCAGGGACGTCACCTCCTGCCAGTTGATGATTAACTGCCCAGTTGCCCACAGGAGCTGCTGGTGATGTTTGATCCTTTCTGTGCTGGCTGACGTTTTGCTTATCTGAAGTTAGGCGAGCCAGTGTTTGGTCACCCGTGTCTTAAATGGTCTTTCTGGAATTGTGCTGGAGAGTTGGATGTTGGGGTGAGTGCTGCAAATGGCAAAAGCAGATTGGAGCAGCA